ACTCCTAAATATTTCCTAACCGTGTAGCTGGCAGATAATATTTTATTATTAATAATATCACATTTTAAAGAGGCGACAAAGGGATATAAAACAAGAGATGGGCAGCAGCATCTTTCTGAGAACAGTTGAATAAAATTAAGAAACTTCGGTTGCCAAACCACTTGCCAAGCGACTATAACAAAACATCCCCATTATGAGGCAATCTATAAGGAAGGCCTATCTTCAGCAGTGGGTTTTTAGTAGGCTGTAATAGATTGATAATAGAAAATTTCCTAATGTGGGTTTCCTCAAATGAAGCGAAACGGATAAGGCCGTCGCAATAAAGCTATTCATGAGATGAATAAAATAGTTAACAGTCTAACAACATGTAACGTTTTAAAACAAGTATTGAATAAAAAAAAATGTTACCATTTAGTAACAACCGCAATTGGGCTAATTATAACGTGATTATTAAAAGTTGATATAAATTTACCTTGAATATATTTTATACAAAAACTAACCATATATGTAGTATGAGCAGTGACACTTAGATAGGGAAAGAAAAGGTTGTCGAATAAAATGAACTTTAGATGGTGTTCTGAATACCCGAACGATCTGAACGTCAAGATCAAGCCTATATTAAACTATCCCATCAGTTAATAACTATTAAGCAAGCTTCAAATCTTTGCAGGCTGGAGAAATTTAAAGCAATGTATAAATGAACTTCAGTTTATCCAAACGTAACGGTGTTTTGATGACGTAAGATAATTTTCGGGAAGCAGATCTTGAACTTTGTACATACGTTAGAAATGTGGGGGTTTTTCACTGATTAGTCGGCGAGTCGTTTTGTTAAACGTAACCCTGCTGGCGACCCAAAAATTATGCAGCTTTGTGTTAAGCACTGTGCCGGTAAACCCCGGTGACTGGCGGAAACAGTTATGACGGCCTTAGCAACGTATGCGTTTGTGGATTAACACACAGGAAAAAGGACTTTATAAATTACCTCACGGAAGAATTAGTTGTGACGAATATCGATGTATACATATAATATAGGTATTGCTAATAACCGACCGCAACTTTGCGGTTTGAAAATAACGGTTTGTCAATTGAGTTGCAATGGGATCGCCTATGAATGGATTATCTCTATTAGATATTCCTATCTTTATATTCTCTATTAAATATTTACTACATGGATATAATACGACTGTGGTTACATAATGTTTACATAGAATACAATTGTCATATGTTCAAACAATTTAACGCCATTTTCATTAATTACTACAACTATCTTCTAAAATGTTTTATTTTTTTAATAATCCACTGCTGTACAAATTCTTTTAGAGTATAAGCCAGTTGTCATTTTGGATTGAAATATGCGAACTAAAATCTAATGTATGTATATATCGCGAAGACTGCGGCGCCGTGACTAAGGGACTTCCTTCGGACGAAGGACGCTCGTCTTAAGATGACTTAAGACGAGCGTAACGACGAACGAAAACTATGGAGTTTGAATCCGAGACTATCATAAGCCACAATTTGTAATAAGACCAAAAGTCGCTAATGGTCTCAAAAAACGAGTTAAAATACATCTCGTGTCTACAAAATATTACTTTTAAAATAGTTTCAATTTTTATAGACTATATTAACATACAGATACTTCAAAGATTCATATTAAAAAACGTCGTTGACTTAATAAACTCAAAAATTACATAAACACCGAAGGACGAAAAACACTGAACTAACAAGATTTGTATTTTAAAACGTATTCGAAACGAGTATTTTTCGAATAATATAGGAAGTGTTAGTCACTTCCTTGTACCATTGGCTCAATTCGAAAAAACCGCTTGCAATATATTTAAAAAAAAAGTACGGTTGAAAATTCAAATATCATATGTTATTTGATACAGCAACAGGCATTATCATAATTGTTTGAACATAGCACATTTACGATAGAAATACAAATTGTAAAATATAATGATCAAAAAAATTATATTATCTTATTAAAGAAAACATTTACAGTAGGTATTTACAACGTTAACTTTATCTTAAAAATGTTTAAAAATAAACAGCGAATATAATATTTAAAATAGATTATTTCTGGTTTAAGTCTTTCCAAGAATAAGACAGCATTTTATCAAAGGAATGCCCATAAACACACATATTATTCATACATACATGTACACACGCAGGTAGATTACTAAAAGCCTTGCCTCTTCCATATTTTATTTCTAATTTAAGAAAGCAAGAACTTTGCATGTCACCAATTACCTAAAACGGTGATTTTCTTACCAGAATGTAAACACTAAACGGCTGAATATGTAAACACTAAAGGCCCTTCTCAACTTAAAAAAGGTTGTGTCGTTATTAGCACATTTTAAATGACATTTGGCAACCAGAGATTTAGCACTAGGCTTCGGGGTGGTCTGATGCTATGTCCAGTTAGATCTTCGTATTATAGGTCTTTGTACGCATGAGAGAGTAAAAAGTTAGTTAAAATTGAATAAAACTATTTTTTACGGATTTTATCGCGTTTCATTTATTATTTTAATTCCCGACGTTTCGGGTGCTTTACAGCAACGGGGAGTCCCCCCGTGACATTGGGTAAATTAAACGTAAAAAGTAAATTAAACGCGATAAAATCCGTAAAAACGTAGTTTTATTCAATGTGTAGTGTTCACGTAAATATAAGAAATCATTAAGTTAGTTAAAATTTTCTAGATGGTAGTAATTATTTCCTGTTTAGAAATTAATGCTGAGTAACCACCCTTTATCTATTACTGATGCCAAGCAGCAAGGAATCCACTACTGTATTATGATCTGCAGGTTATAAAAAGCTAATATAACTGCAGGCGACTGTAGCCTTCTTTGTTCATTACTAGCTGTTATGAAAAAATGAAAACACCAAGTACACAGTACAAGTATTTATCAAAAGATCACTAAATTAAATCAGTACTGGTAAGCTCTTTCAATCCCTAGGGATTATAGAGCTATTGGAGTTGAATTTCATTAAAAGAAATCAAAGACGAAGCAATATTTCATAGTTCTATATACCGCAAAAAATGTTGTAAAACATACTTATACCTGTCTAATGTTAAAAATAAATAATACAATTTGTAAATAACATTATGTCAAGAATATAAAGTCCCAAAAGTACGCACATGTTCTTTTTTTTCACATATTTTTTCGTGTTTACATAATACGCAAATTTTATTATTGGTTGAAATATTTCAATTGCAAATAAAATATGATGAAACAATAGACAACGAATATGAGGAAGAATTAAATAATATTAATATTAATGAATAATAAATCTTTAGGTATTTGACTCCTGGACTATAAGGGACATACAGGGTTGTCAGCACGTGTCTTAACCCATTCCCTGTCCCATGGATTCAATATGCACATTTCCTATGTATAACCATAGTGTCTATATCGCAAACAGGGAAACTGTTAAAGTTGGTTTTCAAAATTTACAATTTTTTCTAGTCGTATTCTTACTAATTTAAAAACTTTTGTTTCATATAGTGCATTTGTTTACATAGTTCCGAATTACATAGGTCAGTTTTCACTTATTATATCATTGTCATCATCATTACAATGCATCACAAGTCTACTACTAAACTTATTATGCTTTCCCTTATCCATTGAAAGCAAAGGCCTCAGTCAGCTATACCCATCGACTCTCTGCATGTTCCACCAATTAAGTATGGGATCACCCAACACTGCACTTATCAGTAAGTGCCTGCCACCATATACAGTTTAAATAAAATAAAATATTGCAAGACCTAGTCCTTGGGGTTCATTTATGTAATTTTATGTTAACATGATTTCATTATAATCTTTAACATTACGATTACTCGATTATTGTTCTTTAAATTATTTCTATATAATACATAATTATATGATAAATAATTGTATATATAATATAAAATTATAATTCTAAATACCTCGTCTATTAAATATTAAGTTTTTACTAGTTTTATATCAGCTCAACTTGTGTGTTACACACATTGTACCTATGTATGTATGAACGTAATGGTATTTTATAATTCAATTTTCATCCTTTTCCAGATATCTGAATAATCCAAAATTATTCGTTTGCATACTTAGAACGTATTAAAAATCTATGACAATACAATAAATTCATGACTATGACCTAGTACTTTCACTACAATCACCAAAGCTTTTAGCAATGCGAGGTTTTTAGACTTAATATTATTATCTTTAAACCAATCATATAGTAACTATGAACAAATTTTATAGTGTTATTGAATTATTGTTATTACAGAAAGTAAATAGCGACGATGCGTGAAATTAAGACTGTGATTTTACGAAGACATTGAAACTTGTACTTTGATACATCCTGTTATGAGGGACGATGGTTCGGAGTATGGTTTTACTTCCGATTGTGTTAAGGCCGGACCAGAGAACAATGCGGGCTGGACACGGATCTAAAATGTACATGGAAATGTACTTTTAAAATCCGCAATTATAAAGTTGTCACTGTGTTTGTGTCAAAGCCATTTGAGTGTGAAAAAAAATAAAACGGATTACCTTTTGAATATCCACCCAAACAACGTTCCATAATAGTCGGCAAAGTAATTCTTGCATAACATTAGTCACAGTCGTTTATGTCTTTGTGTCATAACCCCGATGTTAAATCAAGGTGCTGCAGCTGAGGGTGTACAAGCAGCGGTGGTGCCAGGAATCGCAGGCCCGGAGGCGCGGAGGATGCGGGGGCGCGGAGCCGCGATCACTGACGCACGCGCGAGAAAAGGCGCTGCGGGGTGGGAGGCGCGCGCCTAACACTATTTAAACTGTTCTTGCGAACGGTCACCATGCATTGGTCTGTTTGCAATCCAAACTTTAGTTAGCTACTGTAATACGACAGCTCGAGTCGTAGACAGACAGGCAACAGCCCGTGGTCGAGACACAAAAGCTCTCGCAGACGTACGCTAGCTAAGCGCGCAGTGAACCCTCGTTCAGGCCCTACCGTTCCAAGTGGAGTGTCATTAGAAGCAATGGCTGTAGCAGCTGCTCAGAAGAACCGCGAAATGTTCGCCATCAAGAAATCTTACAGCATCGAGGTGAGAAGTTTCCCATAATTTATTCCTGCTCGGCTCTGTAACCCATGCTTGTATAAATAGCTTCCTTAAAAACCCTGTCAAGTAAATATCCTAAGTTCTCATTGCTGGCCTCGTAACTTTTCCCGCTAATTCCCCACTGCTATGACCATAAATATGTGTCCTTATATTAATTCCTTGGACTTGTAAATTGGTATCACAAACATAATTTATAATAAAATGTAATATGTTAACAATTAAAAACAAATTTAACGAGAACCACCAACTTACGATAAATTGCCTGAAATCTCAAAAAAATTGCACCCTTAAATCATTAACATATTATATTTAAAAAATGTACTAATTAAAACTATATAATAATTTTACTACCCATACAAATGCTTTCTGCCGGCTTTTGTTTACATTAAGCATGTTATGAAACCTTTAAATATAAAACAAAACACATTGTTAGATTACTTTGAAGACTAAAAAGAGTTGTTAACTTGAACTTCAGAAAGCATAAATCCCCTTGCTAATTTTTATATGATAAATATGCTCAAGACCTTTTCAATAACTTCAACAAAAAAATTATAAAAAAATATATTAGAGCAGGTCTTTATTTTTTAAAGTAGGGGTGGCAAACAAGCACTCAGTTCAACTGATTGGTGAAATGACCCATTGACGCCTGTACCTACGCCATTGTCACCTCTGAGGACTAAGACGGAAGGACTTGTCACCAGCAAAATCGTCACCGGTTCTCATCACTTACCACCTGAAACACAGTAGCGTTATGCTGCTGTTTTAGGTATCCTGTGCAAGCGTAGTCCTTCCCCTTGTCACGCCGGCCCATTCGTGTTGCATGCATAATACAACTGCAGCACATGCATAACAATAATTATTTTATTTATTAGTACATTAGGTTCTCACACAATCGTGCCTATTATTATCTTAGCAGCGGCCTCTATTGTCAGCCTCACGTCATCATCACTAATCACCACATATACTTTATTCGTTTAAAATCACCCAGTGGCCTTGCTTTGCAAAGAAAATTGCAAAATATATTATTTACCGTTGTTTGCATTAATACAAATGTTTGAATCTTCTGTCTATGATCAAACAAAAACGTTCGGGAACGTCGTTGGAATAATATCAAAGAAATCATGTGAAAGCGTCGTTCAAAATATAAGTCCAGTTGAGTTAATAAATAATACGTTTCCAGCGGCATATTTGGGCTAATTGTGCATAACAGTGTGTTATTTGTAGACAGAGCCCTCTTCAGTTAATTGTACCGACGTACAATTAGCATTTTTCCCGCCAAACCCACCGTAAACTGTGATACATGACGTAATAACCTTAAAACCATAACAAAACATTGCAACCTAACCGCAAATCTTCGAAAGGCAACTTTTTGCAGTTAGGTCAATGCGCGACGCGCGGACCTCATTACGCTATAGAGAAAAAAAAAACATCGTAGAGAATTACGTTCATAATGAGACTCATTAATGTGCATAATATTAATTACCATTGTCAATATTCACGTTGTCGACTCTTAGTTAAATACCTCCTATAAGAGAACCCATTGCAAATTCTGTCCTCTTAGCTGCGTTAAATTTTCAAAGGTTTTTACTGGACGCTAATGCGAAGAAATGCTGCGAATTTTCTTAGGTTGAGGTTATTCTTGTGTGTGCACGCTGTTATATCTTTAATTGTTTTAGCGTAAAATCAATTGTAAATCTTTTCTTAGGACTTTCATATAGATTATTGTAAAAGATTGCAATGCGACGCTCATGCTTTATTGTTGCAAACGCAAATTGTTTATGAATGCTGTGCGAAAACTAGGTATAACGTGTTATCGTTAACGTGTATTTTATAATTGACTCCTGAATGATTGTATTTCCTTGACCATCGAGGTCGGTACGGTAGTAAAGCGTTGCGACGCTCACCGCTTACACTGCAAGCAGAGATCGTTAAAAATTTATTAAGTGACACGGTCGACTTACACTTCCAACAGCGTACTCTACAATCCAAAATACTTATATATGAAAAATCAAATAAAATAATCCATCATTTAAACCGCGAACCGCACAAAATAATTTCTAAATTAACTACTTTAAGTCACGCGAATTATCTAAAACAAAGTAACTGAAATATCTGTTTACAAGAATTTCGAGGCCACTTAAAAGTGGCCTTGACCAAACGAGGTTCCCCGTCGCGGTCAAATAATCCGCGTAAATTTAAACTCAGATTTTACCGCGAAATTCAGTGGTGCATATCCGTTGGAATGCGATTTTTTTGTTACAGTAATTTTTTCAATAGCATCATATCGATCCCGATTCTTAGGTCACAAAATATGTATTGTGCACCAATTTATCTTGAAAACTTTCAATAAGTCTTTATTTTATATTGTATTGTATTTACATTATAGTGTACATATATATATACACTTCAGGGGCACACTTCATTATTAAAAATATACGGGAAAAGATGAAAGCAGATTATAAAGCTAAACTCGAAAATAGTTTTTCTTTTCAAATTTATATCGTTACCATCTGTTCCTCGCGACTTCGCCCGCGTGGATTTTATTGCGATTGGATTTCATGGGTTTTAATTTTTTTGCTCGGAACCCTAACTATTTACCTAACATAAAAGTACCCTAAGTTACTCTTTATTACATCAGCTATCTGCCAGTGAAAGTCCCATCAAAATCGGTTCACAAGTTTTTGCGTGATGCGTGTTCAGACAGACTTCGTGTTAGAGTTTTATTATATAGTAATAGATAATAAATAGATGGCTTAGAATTTCGAAATGCCGTTCATGATCTGTCCGTTGATCGAGTACTCAGCTTATTCAAGGGTGGCGGGTCGGCTCTCTCAGGCTACGGTTAATCAAGTACGAACTGATTTGAACGGTGAAGTGCTCACTCGAGGAGACCAAGGCTATTGTCCGGTCGCCATTCCGACTCCTACCTGCTGCTATTAGACAGAACTTAGGCTTTATACTCTGCACGACACTATTATCATTTACGTAAATTATGTATGTTTAGTTAACTCCTAAAAACCTATTAAATAACCGTTTGGTTATTTGGGTGTTAACAAAAATACAAAAACTTTCCCTGATTTTACTTTGAAACTAAACAATAAGACTATTTATATAGTTTTCAGTTATATTTAAATCACATTTAAGAAGTCTACAAAAAGGTGTTTAAATAAATAATAATTATTTATTTATAATTAATATATCTTTAATACAACCAATTAGCAGCGAATGTAAAGGTGTGATAACTTTGTAGGACGTATTTCAGGAGCGCGTCAAGTACGCTATGTGATTAGCAACCCTTGACACACATAGTTAGGCTAGCGCAGCCACTCTAGTGGAAAATGCTAGGTCTAGTTGCACTCTGTTAAAGCTACGATACGTCTCACGTAAACCCTCTGTTGTAAATACTCTATTGAACGTGAAAATACTAAATTGTAATATATCTCGATATATCTCGGACATGTAATTACGAGTATCTTCACAATCGTGAGTTAAGTTTATATTGTGTTAAATAATACGTTATACATACGTTAACGCAACTTAAGCAAAACAAAAAGCCTTGACCGAGACAAGCTACCTCAATGTCAGTGAATTAGAATTAGGAAAAAATAGCGGTCAGTACCATTTTCCTTAGAGGTAAATCGCTTTAAAGTTAAAACTACTCCTAACGTTAATGAATTCCGCTTGAAACTAACAACATTTAATTTTTTTATTAAAGGCAGCACCTCAAAAATGAACAAATTACCATTGATTTCAATTTGAACAAATTAACTATATACGTAATTTAACTTGTAGCTGTCGTCGTGATTAATAAAGTAAGCGGTGTATAATCGAATACGCTAAATCTCAACTAAACTATACTTTCAAGGCAATTGGCTTCTCAAACTTTTAATGCAAAATAGTCGATCGACAGACCATTCATTTTGCAGTCACGAAATCGGTCCGTAAGTACTTAAATTTCACGGGGTTAACGTTAAGACGCCTGTGCAGTTATCGGCGGTGGCAATTGGTTCCATTCGGGAGCAACCGTCCAGAAATTCCTTTGAGAATGAATCCAGAGAGAGATGTCTCATCCGGTGGGAGTTGGGGGAGGAGGGAGAATAATGGCAGCACTTTACGCCCGGCCACACTCAGGAAATAAGCTTAGGAACTTCGTAAAAGCAATTCCTACTCGCACATGACATATAATGTGATCCGACCGTTTTATAAGGATTTAGAAGATTTTTAGTGTCTTATGAGAGCTTGACTAGACTTCATTCGCACACATTTAAGTTTAAATATAATTTTCATTGCTTTGTATTGTTTATTTTAATAAAGTTTAGACAATCATTTTATTTTATAAAAATTGACTTAAATTTATCCAAACGTAATATTTATATTTTCTTGATAACAATTCTGCATTCTTAACTATTACCTCAGACATCTTGTTGACCATGTCCATGCCCTTTATAGTAAACCTACATGCCTATTTCCTATAGCCGTCGCGTCGATACAATTGCAATTAACCACTTAATGTAAGTTGCTTATTCAAACCGCTACTACTATTAATTCAAAACGACTTGAACTAACATTAAACCGCTACAACTCTTAAAGGTGATTTTTATGAATCAATCTTTAATAATCAGTATTTTTTTATCATTGTTTCAGAATGGCTACCCATCACGCCGCCGTTCTCTTGTGGACGACGCTCGCTTCGAAACGTTGGTTGTCAAACAGACTAAACAAAGCGTGCTCGAAGAGGCTCGTGCCCGTGCCAATGGTAAGTAAGAAAAGTTTTCAAAAGTGTAAAATTAAGATGCCGATACGCACAGGCTGATTGATATAGGTTGGAATTCTAGCACATTGGAGTTAGTTCTTTCATTGCCTTTTATAAGTTTATTATTATTATTATTATTTTGTTTATTGTTTCTTTTTTTCTTTTATTTCTTTTTTTCTTCTTTTTTACTCATAGACTCTGGCTTGGAATCCGAATTTATCCAAGACGCCGCTCACCTTGGCAATGACGACACGACTCCAACTGTCGAAGATAGCACTCAGCAAGACGAAACGAAGAATGGCCACCTTGGTAACTGTCCCTTTGATTCAATAATTTTGTTTTTCCTCATTTTGTTTTACGCAATTTATTAATTATTTAGTTTCTTTGAATCATTTTATTTATTATTTTTTTTTACTATTTATTTTATAGCTGATGCAGATATCGGAGATGACGCTACGAAAGCAGATGAAGGTTAGCATTGATTTAATGTCCAATAATTGTAATTGTTTTACTTAAATATCAAACAGAATAACTGAATTAATTTCAAGGCTCATATTAAAATAAATATTGTTTGGCAGATTATACTCTCACCGAAGAGGAAGTTATTCTGCAAAACGCCGCAAGCGAAAGTCCTGAAGCAGAGCAAGCTATCCAACAAGCTGCCTTATTACTTAGAATGCGCGACGGAATGGGCACACTGACTCGTATCCTGAAGACCATTGACAACTACAAGGGATGCGTTGAACATCTCGAAACTCGTCCCTCCCAAGTCTCCGGCATCCAATTCGATGCTCTTGTGAAAGTCAGTATGTCGCGCGTCAACCTGCTGCAGCTAATTCGATCCCTTCGCCAATCATCATCATTTGCTGGAGTCGACCTTATTTCCGACAACATTTCTACTAAAACCCCATGGTTCCCTCGTCACGCTTCCGACCTCGACAACTGCAACCACCTTATGACTAAGTATGAACCCGAACTTGACATGAACCATCCCGGATTTGCCGACAAGGAATACAGAGAGCGCAGGAAGCAAATCGCTGAGATCGCCTTCGGTTACAAATACGGCGACCCGATCCCCTCTATCACTTACACTGAGAGTGAGAATGCTACATGGCAGCGAGTTTTCAACACCGTAGCAGATTTGATGCCCAAACACGCTTGCAGAGAGTACAAGGCCGCCTTCGGAAAATTGCAAGCGGCCGATATCTTTGTGCCCCACCGCATTCCACAATTAGAAGACGTCAGCAACTTCCTAAGGAAGCATACCGGATTTACACTCCGCCCTGCGGCTGGTCTATTGACCGCACGTGACTTCCTGGCTTCTTTGGCATTCCGTGTGTTCCAATCCACCCAATACGTTCGTCACAGCAACTCGCCCTTCCACACTCCCGAGCCGTAAGTACAACAACCTTCTCTTTTACTATTTATCATACAACATATTATGAAATTTATACATTTTTTTATATAGGATCGAGTGACAAACGAGCACACAGTCTACCTGATGGTAAGTGGTTGCTGTGGCCCATAGACATCTACATTTATCGTCAATAAAGAATCAATATGCAGATGCGTTGTCACTCGTGAGGACTAAGATGGAATGCCTCTTTTCCAGTAAAAGGGTCTCGGGTTCTCTACACTCACCATACGAAACACAGCAGCATTAAGGTGCTATTTTACGCTGGTATTCTGTGAGAGCAACTCTCCTGAAAAAACGCATCTGCAATTCTCCTGGTGTTGCGGTTGTTCATGGGCGGCGGTAGTCACTTACCATCAGGTGAGCCGCATGCTCGTTTGCCCCCTCTCCTATAAAAAAAAAAAAAAAAAAGAGCGTGGTCCTTCCCCGATCGAGCCGACCCGTCGTGCTACAACTTATAGCTGCAGCATGGCTCTACCACGTCGGAAATAGATAGACAGATACATATCACAGATATGTAACAACATGCATTATTGAAACAAAACATTAAAATTGTACACCATGGTCACATGTCGTAAAATCAAGTTATGCTGCCCACCCATTTGCTTACGGGATATTTTTACAAGCAGCACTATATATGACCTGAATATATTAATTTAGCAGTATTTTATCTGCTTTCAAAGAGATCCGAGTCCGACAATGTCTCAAATGTAAAGAGGTGTAGATTACTCGATTAGACTCGGAATTAAGTATTTAAAATATTGAAATATTTCTTTCGTCATAATATTACTATGTGATGACTTATTTGCTTTATTACCAACTATAGTCCGTAACAAATTTATATTTTTTATATCTAGCACTAATACATTTTTATATTAACAGCCTAATAATTAAAAAAAATGAATTCTTGCAAACACAATAAGTTACATTAAAATATGTTTACTTTAAGCTGAGAATCTTTAAAAACTTTAAGATTACCTTGATTTTTGTTTTTACGTAAATGTTGTTTAACTAGGCCTTGTTGATGTTGTGTGAATTATAACATGTACTCGTAGTACCTAAAAATTGATCGCGAGGCCTACCCATTCGTATTGCGATTTATTCAAGCATTCATTGTGTACTCCTCCTGATTATTGCATTTATACACATACACGTATTTTTGCAAAAGAAAAGCTGACTGATTTCGAAGAGAACATCAATACGGAAATTAAATTTAACTACATCAAAAGATTCCGTTAGTTTCAAAATTCCAGTGAATCGCCCGCTTCGATAAAATTACGCGACATTCTAAATATAGTTTCATGATGGAGCCTTAACTATATTAAGGTCCTCGCGAATAATTCGATTCGGCTCGGTTCGAGGCGGAGTTTTATTCAATTAGCTGTCATTTTATAGTGCATTTGTGCAGTTAAGGTTTAAAAAGTTTTAAAGCAAATCTTTTAATGACATTGAATTATAATAATATGTTTACTAGTCATGGTGTTATTAAATATATTATGAACAAAGATTTTTGATTTCACTACTAAAAGGATTACGTGAACTCTTAAAATGAAATTGGAATACCCGTGTAGTTTTAGTATAATATAATATATTTAGTAGTTGTAATAATGTATCATTTATTTAGCGGCAAGCGCATTTAACATTTGTATTAATTGATTGATTTCTTTTACAGTGACTGCATCCATGAACTCCTTGGACACATTCCTCTCCTAGCCGACCCCAGCTTCGCCCAGTTTTCACAAGAAATCGGACTTGCATCACTAGGCGCTTCTGACTCCGAAATCGAAAAGCTCTCAACTGTAAGTAATAGACACAGCACTCTATTTTTTTTTTCACGTAACGGGCCCGAGCTGTTGCGAATTATTTCCATTTGAGTATCCGTTCGTATGTGTATGAAGATATCATGTCTTTTATCAGGTGTACTGGTTCACCGTCGAGTTCGGCCTTTGCAAGGAGAATCAGCAGCTGAAAGCATATGGAGCCGCTCTCCTTTCTTCGATTGGGGAACTTCTCCATGCCCTCAGTGACAAACCCGAGCTTAGAACTTTTGAACCAGCTTCCACCTCTGTACAGCCTTACCAAGATCAAGAATATCAGCCCATCTATTACGTAGCTGAAAGCTTCGAAGATGCCAAAGATAAATTCAGGTATAATTTTACGTCTAAGATTGTTCTAACCTTATTTAGTCACGTAAACCATTATATTGATTGAAATAATAAAGTGGGAAAAATATTTACGATTAATTGAAAAATTTCTAAATTACTTTGCAGACGCTGGGTGTCGACTATGTCACGACCCTTCGAGGTCCGCTTCAATCCACACACCGAGCGCGTTGAAGTTCTCGACTCTGTTGATAAACTGGAAACATTGATCTGGCAGTTGAACACTGAGATGCTGCATCTTACCAACGCTGTCAAGAAGCTGCAGGGCTTGAACTTTGAATAAATAAGCCACACTTTAACACAAATCAATGGTTCAGTGCACGTGGCCTCGCCACATTGTATAGCTAGTGATATTGTAGTTAAGTAAGACTGTTGTAGTGTGTGTGGAGCGTGACTGTGTGAATGTCGAACCATCGGATGGTACTTCGTTATATCCTTTTGTACCTTATTATTTATTATGCCGAGCTCATTGCCCGGGTCTCGAAAGGCGAGTGGTACTCCCGATTGCCCATTTTAGGGAGACCGCACGTTATTTTACGAGTCCTTAACTATTATTAGTATTAAATATAATTTAATAACAAAACACAAACAAATAAAAATGGAGCACCAAAAAGTAAAAAAAAACCAAACAGAAAATATATGTGTTTGAGTGGAACTTTGCCTTGTTATTTACTATCGGCCTTGCTTATAATCATTGATAATCGCATACTAAAATTGAGTACATTAATTATATGTGTCTCTTTCCATTATATGGTGAAGAGACAGAGACGAGAGAAAACATCTTAATGCATTTCTTAAACTGGCATAGATTTTTATGATATCAAAAAATAAGTTATACATACGGAAGTATGTATAGTGTAATTGAGCATTTGCAACATTGTACGATATATAAGCAATGTACTACTAAACAAAGAACTCTCTCATTTCTGAAAAGGTTTGAGTGCGGTGATGACATTATAATATTAGTAAAGCTCAATGCTTATAGTGAGGAAACCTGCATGTCTGAATAATAAGGCAAAAAACATTTCGAAGACGTGAAAATCACCAACACGCATTGGGGCAGCGTGGCGAACATTTCCTTGCCCTAAACACTTTTCAGAAATGAGAGGAGGACTGAGACTAGCAGTGGGGCTTATATAGGCTGAAACTTTAACTTTTGTTATTGGCTTATGGGTGAGAACAGAAGTCTTCAAACTGGGGCGTGCCTCCCATGGGATTCGTAAAGACCCGTGAAGGGGACCGCGTGATATCTGTGTAGTAAGCTGCACGGATCAAATATAAGGAGGTATTTGGTTTGATTCCTCCGTGACCAACGCTAATTAACTTATTACGTAGGTATCTATTCGATCCTTTTGTAATTTTGAAGCAAAAATAATTTGGAACATTATTACGTTAACTTACTAAGCACAACTCATGTACTCACGTTGCATTTTACGATTTTAAAGGCGTTAAAACATTATATGTTCCACTTTTCGACTGAGAGTGACTGGTATGCACCCTTTGCTATCCAACAATACTATTTGGATCTCCCTTTACTCAATGAAGTGAAGACCTAAAGACCTAAGTCATATTGCTGTTGTTATGCGCAGAGAATATTAGCGCTTAACATCGCGTCGGCATGTAGCCTTAACTTTTTTTATAGAAATAGGGTTAGAAACAAACACATAGTCCACCTAATGGTATGTGGTTACTGAGGCCAATAGACATCTACATCCATCCTCAATAAAGACTCAAGATGCGGATGCTTTGTTACCCGTGAGGACTAAGATCGAATGCCGCTTTTCCAGTAAAAAGGGTCTCCAGTTCTCCACACTCACCATACGAAACACAACAGTGTTAAGCTGCTATTTTACGCTGGTATTCTGTGAGAGCGTGGTCCCTACCCGGTCGAGCCGACCCATTTGTGCTACAACTATACTATAAATATAGCTACAGCTGGCTCTACCACGTAAAAAACTTAACTCTCTCAACAAAAACCACAATCCTATTGATTTGTTTAACCCGATATCCGAAAGTAGGTAGGTAAGTGAAATTCAGCAGGGCGGCCGGTGTGAAATATTTTTGTAGCAGTATTTTTTATGCGAGAGAACGTTAGGAACGACTGGGTTGGACACTTCGCTTTCAAACAATTGGGAACAAACTTTAATATAAACTAAGTAGAATGTAATCTTATATATAAAAATTAATATTTGTTTGTTCGTATTTTATGCGCTGCCATATCGTTCATCAGGTTGCGCTAAAACTTTGTCAACTTAAGTATTACTTGCACTTGGGCGAAGGTTATATGCATAGTACAGATAACTTACAGTAAGTGGCGCGCGTATCGTACTGACAAATGTATGTACGACTACTAATACTATTTTAAAGGTTATGTATCATTCAATTTCTATGAATGTACTTATTATCGTTCCTAATCTATACAAATAAATAAAATTGAAGTGTCTGTTTGTAATGTCAAAATTACAGTTTTTTACTAAATGCATATGAAAGCAAATACGGTACTTATAACTAAAAAGATAATTTTTAAAATTTTTGTCTGTCTGCCTGTCTGTCTGTCTGTTTGTTCCGGCTTATCTTCAAAATGGCTAGACCGATTTTGACGAGACTTTCACTGACGGGTAGCTGATTTCATAAGGAGTAACTTAGGCTACTTTTATTTCAGAAAAAGAATTAGGGTTCCACGCAAAAACATAAAAACCCTAACACGCGAACGAAGTCGCAGGGAACAGCTAGTTAAACAATGTAACTCTTCCAAAATTAAGAGGATATTTCCATAAATATTTCTTATGCGGTAGCAACGCGCCGCGCCGGGAGCCAGCTAGTGTTAAATAAAATTCGCAACATGGTCATCACAACTGGAAAATAATTTGTAGTAATGATGAACATGTTAAATCTCCAAAAATTAACCTACATAACTAACTTGAACTATGACTACCAAATGATTCTAATTCTCAAATATCTTAAGGTCTGCTGAAGTGACGATTCTAATTGTCTGTTTCTTTATTTACAAGTTTATAAGATCTATCATCTCTTAAACTTGTATTTTAATGACTTTTTTTACAACAACTACACATTGAATAAAACTACTATCTACTTTTATGGATCCGGGGTTACGGGTCCCGAGTACTCACCGTAACTATGAATGTTGCAAAGCACTTGAAAAGTCATTTAAAAATAAGATATATCTAAAAGCAGTTTTATTCAAACTTTTATTTTTATTATCTAATTTATTAAAGAAAAAAATAGAAAAATATTATGAAGAAATAATGACACGGACGTCGTTTGTAATTGCATCCTAAGCAAAACTTATTTTAATGCAACTTGACGATAACTGCAATACAGCATACATATATCATTATCATGTCATAACAAAAAATCTTATATAAAAATCTCTTCGATCCTTGTAACATTTACTTCATAATCATGAAACGAGATTTTTTACGCAATACCAACTTTCTGTTTTGTACTCAAGCACATATTAGTAGTCACACAATAAATATGATTATTATTTTAATCAAAAAATGTAATAACTGTAGTAATCACGAGTGCATGAAGTTTATTCACGTGCAGTTACAAATGAATGTTAAATGGAGTAGAATCCTAATAGCAATGAATCGTGGTAATGCTAGACCACTCACAGCTCTTGACCAAATCTTGATAATTGTAAACTATTTCTACAATAAATCTTACAAGTAGTTTCGCCGATGTTTATTGTTAGCATCAGTGTCTAGTGTCAGTGAGGATGTAGGTATATCCTTTCCATTTCAGAATCTTATGACGAAATAAATAGCTACACTTTGTTAATGATCAGTACACACAGTACACTTGAAATATTGTACATATATGAATTTAGCCAAAACGAACTGAAACATGAAAGTTTATGAGTAAAACAATCAGTTATTCAAACTAACATCGTTGCAAAAAGTTTAGCTAGATTTAAAAAAAAAAACACAAAGACAACGATTCCGAAAAACGGGATAAATTGAAGTCAGAAGTACAATGGAACGAGATCTAAACACATTTCAGAAAAAGGTCGGTTGTACGTTGACATTAACGTCGAGGGGAGAGGCATGGCCTCAACACGCGCAAGGGCGAGTGAGTTGCAGACAAAGCCGGACAGCCAGCCTCTCATTACGTACGCACCTACACGTAAATTCTACACGCAACACTTTACACGTTACCTGACTAATGCTTTACAAGTAATTTAAATCTCAAATAACCTAAACATTATAGTTCATGCGTACACAAAGATAATCAAGAAATCAACGAAGATACTCACACTTTTGCTACATAATAACTTAATTGATTTAACAAAAAGTTTTTGACTTTGACGTAAAAATATTAAATCTCGAAAATAAAATATGTAGTCTGGTCAAATTAGCTCAAAAATAAATGTAGTTACAATAATTCGCATAGATCTAATGAAATGTGAAAAGTCCTAATCAAAAGTTAAAAGTCAAATTGCATTTTTAAGCTGAACAGTAAGTTTTATCATAAAAATAGATTAAACAAAAGCTGTAGATGATGCAGTTATCTATAAAAATTGTTCTTACACTTTTTTCCCTAAGAATCAACATTTCTGAGATATAGCCATTCAAAAAATTAAAACGTTTGCACGCCTCCTGTGAGGTAGTGAACGTGACGCGTTTTTTTTTTAACGTAGCTTTCTCGGTAGGCCTATTCTACAAACTATTGTGGTCCTGTATAGTTAAAAAAATGTTGTATCAAATAGAAAATGATACTATTAGAAATATGCGAATTATTGTAACCTTGTATGTTTTTTTTTTTGACCGGGGATATCCCACCATATTATCCAGTCAATAAATTTGTGAAATATGTGTGTGCGAGCGGTTGATAGATGTCTCGAGTGTCTTTCTCTCTCTCCTTTTCAAGTATGTAGGTATTTATAGGTATTGTAGATTTAAAACAATATCAGTACTAAAGTTAATGACTTAATGTACTCAAACGATGAAAGCAGATTAATGCGGTTTTTAAAATAATATAATTACCTGGTTAAAAGAATAAATCTTACAGCGAAATTTGAATAGTATTGGATAGTGAGTCACTGACAGCAAAGTATATTTTGTTAATCAGCGTAATATTTAATTAGGTTTTCTACTTAACAAATTTAATGTTAGTCACATCTTCGTCATTAACATTGTAGCAGCATTTCATATGTTGATTCCTACGTATATTCTTTTAATATTTCGTAGACAAGAAATCCACCGACACGCACTGGGTCAGTGCTGTGGACTAATCGCCTTCATAACCCCCTTCGAAATA